GGGGGGGGGGGGGGGTTCCCCCCCCCCCCCCCCCCGGTTGTTTGAATTCATTGCGTCCCAGTGCCCTGAGTGTCGGAGAGTCAATTTCATTTGGAACTCGTGTTCTTTCTCTTTCTTTTTGTTTCCTCCATTTGTTAATGGGGTAAATGCATTTCTCGTGTATGCCTGCTTTCTTCTTTTTTTAAAATGAGTAATTACTTATTACTTGTTTTTTAGTTTTTCTTATATCTTGTGCACGAGTGGTTGGGAGCATAAAAAATTCTCACCAGCGAATTCATCGAATGTGGTTTCAAAATCTCTCACTTTCCTCCCGTGTTTTCCAACAAATAATAAAAGTTGCACCCGATGGCCTTGCGGTTTGCAGCAGCTGCATCCTGTTGCATCCCGATACCTGTCCTCGATATGCCGATGCTTATCAGCAGCTCTAGCGACTGCGTGATGCAGGTGCACGTATGGACCTGTAACCCTATGAAAAAGGCAAAGCGCAATCTGATAATTAAAAAAAAAGCAAGAGACTGAAAAGACCCTCCATGCAGCTGATCCTGCGAGTCCGGCTAATCGGAAGATCGCCTAGGAAATCCCATTCAGCTGTCATACGCGCAATATTTGGTGCCATTCCGCACAGAAGGATGGACGCTTTTTAAGGATGTGATGGCTCGAGTGATCGTGGGAGTCGGCACGTACGGCGGTGCACCATCTTGCACGAACACGGTCCGTTATTCTTATTCGGTGGCAACGGTAATGCGTGGAACAGAGAATTTTCGTGTAGGTGCACCGCCGCACGTTGCGACACCGGCGAAAACACTGCTCACCGACACCTATCGGGAAGGGGTCGTCGGCATCTTGCGACGCGATGGCCTCCCAGATCGGGGAAACTTTTGCTCGTGGGACTATCTGCATCCCATCGATGCAGAGTCGTCACGAAAGGACATCTTTGGTGGTGAAATGCAGTCCATTTTCCACGACGCGTCGAGATCCGCAGTCTGAAATGTTCCTACACCGATTGGAACCAGTTCCAGAGCTTCCTGCGGGCCGTATCGTTGAAACGTCACGCCAGCAGCGCCCTTTACGAGGTATTTGCTTATTCTTTGCATTTCGTTCTCCCCGTTATGCATCGATCCTACACGCAAACATTGCACGCAGAGTTGCGGTGCATAGATTTTGTCCTCGAATGTCGTACACTCACCACCCGACTCTAAAGTCACCTTTTATTCACTTCGTTGGGATTTCAAAACGGGTCAGGATGTAACCAGAGTGGAACGATGAGAGGGAATTTTGGGGGGATTCAGTTTTCAAAGCGACCGCTAGATGGCAGCACGTGCATGAGCTCGAAGATCATCGAAAGAGATCGCACATCGCACTCGACTGTAAGGAGATGATCGTCCTTGCAGTCGAGTGCGATGTGCGACTTTTTCGAGATGGTTCCGTAAACAAAAATCCAGAGGAGTTAAATGAGGAGATCTGGCCGACCACTCGTAATTCCCCACGACGTCTGATCCATCTGTTTACGTTTCGTCCTGGTATTCACGCACTCTCCCTCGCAAGGTGGGGAACAGGCGGGGAGGAATTGCTCCGTCTTCCCGGTTCCGAGCATCGTCTTCGGCCGGTTGGGGTTCGCCGTGGTCGTCCGATTCTCTTTCGATCATCTCGACGATGGCCTGTCTAATTGCATTTTGGAACCAATCCAGGTACATTTTCTCAGTATGGTTTCTTCGACGAAGAAGGGTGTAAGAATTTTGTTGCACATCGAGGAAGGAAAGAAGGTTCGAGGACGCCATGATTCCATTAAGCGAGTGAGCTCAATCATGAACCAAAATTTCCTTTTTATAGATCACCTTAATGAAAAGTTGCGACGAAGGAAGGAATCGTGCAGTCTTCCCTCGTTAGTCCTTTCGGTCGCCGATCATTATTTCGTTTCTTGGCTAAATATCGTCACCCAGTAATTTTAGTCGCCATAGTTACCGTTTGGCGCCTTTATTCGTGCGGATCTCATGCCTCAGCGTTAGTGTCCCGCAGAATGAATCTATGGGCAAGGTATTTGGAAATTGTTTTATAACCGAATCGATTGGCATGCTCCAATCGCGCAATTGGATATCTTGGTATCTCGCAGATACTAAGGAGGCCGATTACTTGCCTCGATATCACGTATAAAATCTGCTTTCCTTCGGAATCCAAGATGAGATTCCTCCGTGAGTATGTGGAACGTTCGATCGAGTCGATCGTCCCGAGAAGAATCCGGAAGACGACACTCCGCAATTTTAAATGTATATTTATTTAAATGTTTCGATGGAAGCTCCAAAAGAGGACGTGCATTCGGCCCGGGATTCCCGACTTTAAGAGACGCCACCTTCCGACATCGTTCTGCCCTAGCAGTAAAAAGAAAAAGGCACAGTCGATATCGATCTGGAGAAAAAGGAGAGGATTTTCGGAGGATGACGATGCGAAGCCCTACGCACGAGCCAGTCGCCAGAACGGAAGGGAGATTCTCAGAGCGTTGTGCTGTCGTAAAAAGAGGTGAGCATCACGGTGAGCATGGCTTCTGCTCCGTTTCCCCTTCCCGGTGAGCATTTCTTCCTCTCCCGTTTACGATAATCACTTTCACGGCCCTGGGTCGTCTATCATCGGCCTGTACCAGTACATCTCGGTGCACGAAGTACTTGGGGATGCCGCATACCAGATCGTACGACACGTTTAGATCGCGTCGCCTCGGTTGTTGGACTCCCTCCAGAAGGGTAGAATGACTCAAATTTCCGTTTTCGTTAAAAATTATTCACGATGAACTCTTTCAGACTTTTGAGTTGCTTTTAAATCGGAAGATGGCTTCGAACTCGGTAGGTACTACCGGATGAAAAGGAGATGAAATTCTCCCGTAACGTGCACCCAAGAGGATCGGGTCCTTGCCACTCCGACCGAGCAAAATCTTCCAACGATGAGCACGACGTCAAACGTGGTCGAGTGAGACGAAGAGTAAGTGCGAGCATACGACCCCGTGTTGCCGCCTGAGACAATTTCTCGAAGGCTGGGGTGTGTGACCGTGCGACCACGTCTCGCCTGCGAGGACGATTGCGAGGATGGGGACTCTCGTAAGGTTAAGCCGGAGCGATCCGTTTCCATCGACCCGATTTCGCGTACGCCTCAGATGAGAAACCTCTCGGCCTCGGGATTCATGCAATTCTCGAGAATCTTTAGCGCCAACTTTTTCTTTCGATACGGCCTCGACATCCGAATGCGAGACCGACCGTGAACTAAAGTCGGTTGGAAGTGGGAACGGGAACCCGTCGACCTCAACGTACTCTCTGTACCTCGGTCGATCTCCCTTTCGTAGCCGGTCTTCGATGCACAACCAACACCTGCACCTTTTCCCAACGCTTGCAACGGGGCCTATTTTTGGAAAGACGGAGCCGCCCGACTCGGGGCACGACGAACGAAAGGGAGTCCTTTCGACTCGTGCGAACCACATCCGTCGACCCCTTGCGTAACGACCCGAAATTTCCTCAGATCGCATGCCAATAAGATCTTGCTCGTCTCGACTAACGAGTCGTTCGGAACGGGAGTCGGAAATTTAGGACACGGGCAACGTGGAATCTCCTCTCTCGTATTAGCATTTGAAACATTCCGACTCTCGACGATCGCTTTTGGATCTTTCTACTCGATGGCACGCAGATCGTGAAATCGCGATCGTCACCGATACGGACGTTGCAGAAAGGAAAAAAAAAAAGAGAATATCGCTTGAGGTTTGTAAACTCGCACGGAAGGTTCGACGGAGGGCGTACAGAAGTACGGATACCAGGAATTCCCGGACGGAAGCGAATACCTGGGAGGATGGAACTCGGAAGGAAGGAGACACGGCTTCGGACATCTCGTCTTCCCTCACGGAACCAGATACGACGGGAATTTCACGAACGGACTCTTTTCGGGCCTCGGGGTCTTGGCCTTTCCTGACGGTGCCAGGTGAGTCGGTTTCTCTCGTCGTCTCTCCTTTTTTCGAACGGTGCGGTTACGATCGATCGCGATCGGCACTGCGGAACCGGTGCCGGTTTCACTTTCGAAGCCTCGTAAACGCAAGGGGGGGGGGGGGGGGGGGTTAATAAATCTCATTATCCAGTAAAACGTGTGTGCATGTGAAAATAACAATTAGCAAGGGGGGGGGGGGGGGATTACGCTAAGGGAGCTCGTCACGCATCGAGGAACGAAACGTGCACAACCGGTTCTGCACGTTTCATTAATAGATTTCTTCTTTAGTCTCTTCCAGAACATAAAAGAAATGATTTGAGATGCCACCCCCTTGAAGCAACGAAACGTCTTCGGGGAAAATCGCCTGCAAATGCATAAAGGATTGAAAAGCACACTGGGCGATTCGCAATCGGA